GTTGATGACCCCTTACAGAGGTAGAATTACAAGATGGAGAGAAACAATTTCTGGAGACATAAATATCATTTAGCAAATAAATTCATAATCATGAGATCTTTCAGTTCATGTAAATAAAATAATTCACTGTCAAATTAGTAGAGAGATGTACTCCCCGAACTTTTAAGAGCTGTGATCCTTGAAAGCAAACAAAAATGGATCTTATAGACTGATGGCTACGTACTTTTCCTAAGAAGTTACCTTGGAACATTTTTCTAGTTGTGACCTACCTAGTAATATATTGATAGTGTTCTATGGTGTTGGAGAGATGGACATTGAACACCAACAGACCAGAGCCAAAGATCTAACTCCACACTCAGCACCTAGAAGGGAAAACAGAGTCTCATAATTAGCCCAAAGAAAAAGAAGCCAAGTGCATATGAAAGATTTAAAAAAAAAAAAAAAAGGAAATAGAAAATGTGCATTGTCCTACCTGTTTTCCTGATTTAAGTTTTATCAACTCCCTCATTTTCTCCACAGCATATATGGTGCAAGCTCGTAGTTCAATCTCCTCCTCACTGCCTGGAACTATTTCACGGTTAGAATCAATAATGCTAGAAAGTGTAGAGCTATATTTCAGCACGCCAAGCTGCTTGAGTGCAGCTGGAACAATATAGTCTGCAAACATAGTGATCGAGCCAATGTCATTGATTCTCCATATCCTCGGCCCTTGAATGCACCCCATAAATCTGCAGCAAATATCTGTGCTCTTTTATACAAGAGCACCTGTGCCTTTGTACACTGAGTGGTCTCGAAACCCTACAATATTTTTAAGTATTACTGGAGTTAATTTTTCAATTATGTCACATAACAATTAATCTCCTATGGAAAAAATTTTAACTATTATCTTAAACAATAACTTAAGATTTAACTTCAAGGAAAAGGTATCAGGAAAATAACGTGTAACAAGAGCCACAAGCTTGACAGCTGATTTTCCACAAGATTCCACCAGTTTGTATGGATGCTTTACCTTCAAAATTTTTTTCCAGTTCAAACCCAACCTAAGCCATGACATTTAGAGTATGTTAGGTGAAAGCTCGTAAGTGTTTCAGTTTTTTTGATACTATTTATATTTAATAAGTTTAATTTTTTTTTAACTTATATTTTTTACTTTTTTTTTAATTTTAAAAAGATTTTAAACAATAAATTTTAAAAAATTTCAAACTTTTACTTTTTCTAAACTTTCTTTTTATTCATTTTTTTTTTATTTTTAAAAATAAACTTTTAAATTTTTCTTCCAATAAAAATTTAAGTTTATGTCTCATAAACAATATTAGAAAAGTAAAAGCTCTAAGAAATTCTACTAGACAGGCCTTAATGAAATTAAATAATTGATTTCACTATTGTTAGTGACAAAAGTCTCTTTTTATTTTTATTTCATTTTTTAGGCTAATATAGGTAAATAGATAAATTATCCTCAAATTTTTAATTTAAAAAATCAAGCAAAAATTACAATTAGTGTTGAAATTACAATTATAACTACTGGGTGGAATTGACCATGAGTGAAAATTTTGAACAAATTTGACCAAAACTATAACTAATAGGTTGAATTTGATCTAGGTTTTGGGCTTTTTTTGTTTTTATTATTATTAACTAGAAATTGAACCAAAGCAAGTGCAATTAATTAGTTTGGTTTTTAATTGTTAGGCCTAGAATCGAAAAACCAAATGACTAGACTGAGTGTAACTCAAAAAGCCAGCCCAAAACCATTATTTAAAATTTTTTAATGGTTTCTTGCTGAAACCAAATCAAATGGTTATCTTCAAAAAATTAATCAAAACCTATGAAACCATTATTTTTGGTTTGGTTACTAGTTATTAATAAGTTCATACCCAAACATACAATTAGCTAATAATTCAGTTGTAATTACAATCAATATCAAACCATGCTCACCTCTAATAACAGTGATTATGCTTCACAAAATTTAGAATTTTTAATGTTTAACCAAAAGATGACCATAGTAAATATTAAACAACATTTTTTTTTTATTGTTTTTGGTTGCTTTATAGAAGACAATGATCTCTCACTCTTTGACCAACCTTATCTTACTCTCGCATGTTGTATGATTTAATTAAATCCTAAATCTTTTGCTCCACTAGAAAGAAAGATTAGTAGGTGGCTTAGGTTGTTTGCCTCAACAACATTTAGTTGTATATATTTATTATTATTATTATTATTATTTTAGATTATACAATAAAAGACAATCATTTATCAAATTTTAATACTATCTCATTTTACTTGCATGTTATGTAACTTAAGTTCAAATATCATATTTTCAAAAAAAAATATTAATATTAAATTATTTAAATTATTGACATACCTTTAGTATATTATTTACTTGTAACATTGGAAACAACCCAAGTGGCCTTGTGACTCACTAACTTGCTTTTTAGAATATAAGCTTTGCTTGATGGTGAAGGTATACGGACAAGAAAAAGGAGGAAAATCCCCACAAAAGTAGCAATTCTGCAAGAATATAAGCTAGCTTTTAGTTTTAATTTTCTTTTATATTAGTAACAAATATTATATATAGAATATGCTAATTTTTAGTTTTTAAATAGAGTGTTAATTATTTTTTTTGATACGAGTTAAAAAAATTAATTGTTGAGTAATATAAAAGTTTACATATTTAGTTTTGACTATAAATTAAAGTTTTTAAAGTACTGAGTATTAATTTAGTCAAATTTTTGTTAATTAAATATAGTGTTTATTGCTAAAACGTAGAAAAATCAGAATGAAAAACCAAACATAATACAGAAAATGGACACAGCACATCTTAGTTATTTTTAACTTGGCTTAAGCCTGCCTCTTGGCTATCGTATGGCGTCAGACTGGTTCTTAATTCCCACGTCAAGCTAAGATATTTTAGCTCTTATTTTATTATTACCCTTTTAATTTTTTTTAAAAAAATACTAACTCTAATAATTTAAGAAAATAATTATTCCTCACCTTAATATCATCAATTTCAAGGTTGATTGGACAATTGTTATAATATCTTTTTCTTATGAAATGTAAAATTATTGAATGAATTTATTGAAAATATAATTTCTTTCACATTTGTCGCTTTTAATAGGTATATTCCTAACTCTTAAGTTGGATTTGATTTTTTCACCCCTAATTTGTTTTTTTAAAAAAAAAACCTCCTTCCACCATCAAATCAAAAAAAAAAAAATTTTGGATTTAGGTCAAAAAGAAAATCAAATAAAAAACCCTTTCAAAAGAAAAAAAAAAAAAGAAGAGGAATGATATATATTTGCCAAGTTGGCAAGTGGGTCCAGTCACTCTTAAATTGCTCGACTGGCCCACCAATTACCCCGTCCAGAAGAACATGCTAAATGAAACGTCGCCGTTTAACTACTAAATTAAGTAATCGAAAATAAGGAAAAAGAAACTAGACAAACGAAAATCCGATGCCGCTTCCCGGCATGGTAACCTGCCCACCCTTTTTTAAAATGAAAATGCTGTAAATGGCCTTAAGGCCCTGCGATTTCACCACAATCTCTCTTCATCACCGCCACCACCGCCAGCATCTCTCCCTCCTCTTCCGCTCAACCGCGGAAGCAACCGCAGCAGCCGCATCCACCACTACACAACTCTTTCCTCCATTATTTGTTTCCTCTCATCGAAGGAACCCTCATTTCCTTCCAATCTCCTTCCTCCGTGAAATCTCGTCGACTTCGGCTCTCTCTTACCAAACACAAAAGCGAGAGCAGCTTCTCAGGGAGCTGAGGAGAGCGGAAAAGATGGCGCAGAAGATCGCAAAATCGGTAAGGCGCCCGGGCGCCCCTTCCAAAGCTAGGGTTTACACCGATGTCAATGTCATCCGCCCCAAGGACTACTGGGATTATGAGACTCTCACCGTCCAGTGGGGGTATCGTACTTCACACTTTCTCATCTCTCTCTCTCTTTTCATCCCAATTTATGCGTGTACGTTTTATTTGCGTACATGACTTTGACAATGCATTTGCATGTGTTATTTCGTGAATTTGAATTCATCGATGGTTGCGTACCTTTGAATCTTAGGGTTTTCATTGGATTCATAAATATGCTGATTCTGCGATTGATTGGGGCATGATTTTAATTGCGGTAATATAACGGAGAAAAATGGATATTGTCCTTTTTTTTTAATGAAATTTGATTTTTTCCGTTGGTAATGGAATAGAGGTCTCTTTTTCTGAGGGTTTGTTTGTAATGTTAGTGGACTGTTTGGTTGTTTTTATAGGGAGCAGGATGATTATGAGGTGGTGAGGAAGGTAGGGAGGGGGAAATACAGTGAGGTGTTCGAGGGAGTTCACTGCAATGATACTCAGAAATGTGTTATCAAGATTCTCAAACCAGTGAAGAAGAAGAAGGTTTGTTTGGCATTACCATCTCCTTTTCTATCATTTGGCAATGGCATTTCTTTGTTCAATGATTATTTCACTTTTTTGTTTCATAACCCGCTTTAAGGAATGAATTTTGCAATGAGTGATGTAGTTTCTTCAATACAATGCAGATTAAGAGGGAGATTAAAATATTGCAGAACCTCTGTGGCGGTCCAAATATTGTGAAGTTGCTTGATATTGTCAGAGATCAGCAATCAAAGACCCCAAGTTTTATTTTTGAATACGTGAATAATACAGACTTTAAAGTGCTTTATCCAACATTAACCGACTATGACATTAGATACTATATCTATGAACTTCTGAAGGTAAGTTTAGCAATTTCTTGTTTCTTCAATTAATATGATTGCAAATGCAAAATAGTTTTGGCTTATATAAATATGAATATTAATTTATTAGAATAGAAAGGACATTTATAATTCAGAGCTTCAATGATTTTTTTTTTTTTTTTTGTCACCAAGTCCCCTCTTGCTTGTTTTGAGTTCAAATCCATGCTAACTAATTGGGAGGGCATTAGGGGATCAAAGATGGATACCTTCTATTATGTAACTTAGCATTTGGCTCAAAACTCAAAAGGAGAAAAGTTACATTTTCTCTCTTAATCATGATTAGGAGCTAGGATTTTCTTGTTTGTCAAATGTTGTGTGGGAAATTTATTCTATAATATATTCATAAATGATTTAGAAATTGTAAAGTATTTGTGGATTTGGTTAGCTATTGATTGTGAGACTGAATGATAAGCTCTTCCTTTGGTATCAACATGCATACATTTAATTCAAAAAAATTATAAAAAAATGTAGCTCTGTTAGCCAGGATGAGCCTGCAATTTGTTGAATTTTGTTTTTCTTTTAAGAAGAGATGGTGAGTTATTGTATTGATGGAATTGAGGCATATGCTATTTTTGAGAATGGGTGCAGGTACTTTTGGCATCTAAGTCAAAGTTAGGTATTGTTTAAAACTAGTAAGTTGTGTTTAATGCCACCATTTCTGGTATAATTTAAATTATCTAGGAGATAGTCAGTGTGCCAGTTAACTGTTCAGTTTTTCTGTATAGCAGCTATAGCTTACCCTCTAAATCTCTTTCCACTGGTTTAGTGGCCATTTCTATAAATATTGGCAACATTTATGCTGTTTGTTTTTATTAGAGGCTATCTTGAGGCAAATTTCCTTTATTCACTGAAAAGGGTAGGTGTAAAAAGAATGGAGGACATTTTTAATGTACTATGAATCTTCATTTGTAGGCACTGGATTATTGCCACTCACAGGGTATCATGCATCGAGATGTAAAGCCCCATAATGTGATGATAGATCATGAACAGCGGATACTTCGTCTTATTGATTGGGGCCTTGCAGAGTTCTATCATCCTGGGAAAGAATATAATGTCCGTGTCGCTTCAAGGTTTGTTTTTCTATTTTTATTATGTACTGAGTATTTCATGCTTTCAGTAGCTCCTGTTTGTGAACTGTTTTATCTCTTATATATGCTACCATTGTGATTTTACCTTGTAAAATTTATTTCTTAGCATCATCCTACTGGATTAGTTGTTTTGGACTTTTTGGAATGAACATAAATTACGTCACATCAGTCCTGGTGACTCTTTAGTTAGAGGACATACTTCATATTATTAGCTTATGCTTGTTCAGGATGAAATTTTTTCTCTCTCCCCTTCCTTTTTTCTTTTCTCCTTTCCTTTTTGGCCTGACTTTTCTTCTACTGTACAAATTGATTCATGACCTGTGTTTTATGTCTCTGTTTGGTTTGCAGATACTTTAAAGGTCCTGAGCTTCTTGTTGATTTGCAAGACTATGATTACTCTTTGGATTTGTGGAGCGTTGGTTGCATGTTTGCTGGAATGGTTAGTAATAGTAAGACCTTAATAGTATCTCTTTTCAAGGCCAGGTAATTTTCTTTGAGAAGATGGGATTTTATAATTCATACTGTGACTTCATATATGAGATTCTCCTCGTGTACATTTCTGGTGTTTGTGCAAGTGGGGCTTGATGTATCTTTGGAAAGCCTAATCATCAGAAACTTCAGGCCAATAATTCTACCCAGATATTTTGGACATTAGCAATTTTTTATGAACTCTTTCTGTTTGGACCATTTATTTATCCAAAAAATGGTGCTGGATAGAATTTGATTTTACTGCATGAGTGGATCTTGATATGCTTGCATATTCATCCATGGGTGGCAGATAATGAGTTGGATTAGAATTTTGTTATAAAATCTGGGTATTCAATGACATGCCTTGAGATGCTTATTTTTGAGGTTTGTGCTGTGCAGATATTTCGCAAGGAGCCATTCTTCTATGGACATGATAATTATGATCAGCTGGTCAAAATAGCCAAGGTATGTACATCATTGGAATCTGGATCAATGTTTGAGTAACAAGGAATCTGTCAGCATTTTATCTCATTGTGTCATGTAGATGAGCATGGCTTTCATGTATCTCATTCTGGGCATGGGACAGAGTTTTGTTCTTGCCCTCATCTTCTTCCCCACCTAAAGAGACAAATAAAATCATAATTGAATAAATTGGTTTTCTCTTGGATGGAAATTATATTTCCATTCCTTACTTTCTTCGTTTTGCTCCAACAGGTTCTTGGGACAGATGAATTGTATGCGTATTTGAATAAGTATCGAATAGAATTGGATCCAAATCTGGCAGCCCATGTTGGGAGGTTGGTGATGTGATCTCTTGTTAGTGTTGATGGTACTGCACTGCTGTAATATCAGTTGACAAACATCTTGTTTAACTTTAATACAGGCATAGCCGGAAACCCTGGTCAAAGTTCATCAATGTTGATAATCAGTATTTAGCAGTACCTGAGGTTGAATTCTTTGGACATTGAACTGCAATTTGACAATTTTATCTCATGTCCTTCATTCTATTTATGACATTTGCATCCTTTCTTGAAGGCTGTTGATTTCCTTGATAAGTTGCTGCAATATGATCACCAAGAAAGGCTAACTGCAAAAGAAGCAATGGTAAATACAGTCTTTGTGGACTTATTGGCGGAAAGATATAATCATTTACCTGGATCATTGGATTGTTCTGTCTGGCAACCTGAGCTTGTTAAGACTTCTTGTGAAACTTCCTAATCTGAATTTCTGTTTCTTGCAGGCCCATCCTTATTTCTACCCAATTAGGAATGCAGAAAGCAGCAGAACACGCACCTAGCAAAGCAACACCAGGATGCTGTCAAGGAACAAGCAGCATCTTGTGTTTGGTCAGTGGCTGCTTCCAATATTTGTCAAAGAATTTTTTTTTTTTTTCCCTCTAGTGATCAACCTTCTTGCTAGAGGCCTTGCATGTCTTTTCTTTCATAGAACAGTCAAATTTTCTTTTTCTTTGGCAAATTGAGGTTTCTTTTGACTTCAATATTGATTATTTCGCATGCTTTTAATTGATGAATGAATTATGGATGTGATCTCAGTGTGCTTCAAGTGTTTAGCTATTGTTGGGATTAAACACTGATCTTAACCATGAATTAAGCTCGTTTAGCTACTTATTCTCGTCAGATCTAATTATCTACGAAAATTGTTAAGCACAGAAGCACCGAGAGATGGTATCTCAAGATATTGTTTAGCTAGTTTCGAACAACCTGTGTGTAGTATAGGAAGTTGGTAGTAAATTACTGCAGGGTTCATGCCCATTTAAGTTCTGGGGCAGTGCTATATAGGGATAATTTTTTTAATACTTTTTTTTATATAACTTTTACATGTCAATAGATGAGTAAATGTATTCAATATTATGGAATCTACATGAATAAAAGGAACCAATAAGATTGTACAAAAAAGTTAAATAAAAACATTGTTCCAAAATCATTTCCTAAGTTCTGAAATGAATGGGATGAGGATGGGGATTATTAAGTACCAAGTAGGTAGCAACAAAGCGCCCATTTTGTTTTGTCCTTGTTTTCAGTCTTGGCCCATTTTGGCAATTCTGGAGTTTCAAGGTTTTACCCTTGCAGGAAGGATGGTTTTTTTTTTTTTTTTTTTTTTTTTTTTAACATCAGATATTGGATTATACAGTAAAAAATAACCTTTTCCATCCCTTGATTCCTCTTCTCCTATAATAAGGTTTAAATTTGATATTTTTAACTTAAAATCTTAAACTTTTTAACTGGTTGAGACATGTTCTTAGAAGCTTCTTTCAAACACTGAGAAACATTGAACTTAAATGGGAACAGAAAATTCGGAGTCTCGGATAACGGAAGCTCAGAAAATCCAAATATTCTTACGTAAACTAATTCATTGCTGCACCAGCTGTATTTGTTGTCCTTTGGTGGTTCCCATGGCAATGATAAGCATCCAGGGTGGAGGTTTCCTCAAATTCTGGAACTCATAAGAGCCTAGCTTCTGCTGACCAAACACTCCGTCCCAAGACATCGCTCGCGTTATTTTCCCAAAATCCCATGTCACATTTCACCTCTAATTCTATATCCACTCGTCTATTTTTAACTTTTTATTTTATTAAATTTAGAAGTTTTAATATTTTATTTTATATTATAATATTTTTAATATTTTATTTTATTAAATTTATATGTTTTAATCTATTATCTATTA